TAGTCATGCATAGAATGATAAGTAACATGAAACAAAAAATTAAGTATAGAATATTGACTGCATTTGTTGACTGACCAAAACAATAATATTTGACAAAAACGAATTTAATAGTTATAAATGTGGGAAGAAAAGTGAATATTCATTAGGCGTTTTTTTCCATTTCCGAAAACCATTTTCCATAGCCATCATTTTCCCGGGAAAATTAACAGAAAATTTTCTTACCGGATTGAGAGTACTGTGATCTTTGAAAGTTTCCTCGAGAATAGCAGATTGATCTTTAGAGAGTCTAAGTTTCTTCCTCGAATTATCACCATCTTCTTCGTCACTGATGATTCCTCTTGACCCTTGAGGATCTGTATCTTCTTCTCTCTCACTCCTTTTCCCTGTAGAGCTTGAGACTGTACTGTTAGGAGACGATACTCCGGCGTCTTCGTCGCCGTATTCCGCCGTCGACGGTGGTCTGTTCACGTCGATTCCACGGATGAACGTTCTTGTTTCTATACGACATGAATCGGAGTTTGGAACTGCATGCACAAGAGAAATGTTCTAATAAAGTTGAGAACTTTAAGGTGTGATTTCTCGGGAAAATTAGGATACTGAAAAACTCTAAAAGTATTGATTGTTTCTTTCCACTAAAGATAAAAAGGATGATTCGATCGATTTTTGTTTCACTAGAAACCCATTTATTTGAAATCATGAAGGGTTTAAGAGGAAATATACGGATTTGAAGAATCTGTGAAAAGATCTTTGTTTTTTTCTCGGGAAAATGAAACAGAGGATCCTAGAAAGTGAAAAAGGTGAGACCTTTAAGATGTTTAGTGTGTTTTCCGGGAAAATTAGCAAACTGAAAAACTCTCAAAGTATTGATTTTTTCCCCTTTAAAGATAATAATGATAATTCGATCGATTTTTGTGTCTACGAGAAAACTCATTTATTTGAGATAATGAAGGGTTAAAGAGGAAATATAAGGATATGAATCTGTGAAAAGATCTGTGCTTTTTTCTCGGGAAAATAAAACAGAGGAGGAGGCCTAGAAAGTGATGACGTACCTGACGAATTAAAACTCTCGTTCCATGAAGATCTTCTAAGTAGTCCAAAAGAAGAAGAAGATGGAGTAACAGGAACAGAAGGATTTGATTTGAGATCTATCTGATTCTTGGGAAAATTCAAGCCTAAGCTCAGACCCAAATCGTCTTTCTCCAACATCATCGTCGCCAAATTTTCTCAGGAAAACAAAAATGAAGACTTTTCTTGGTCTCTGTTTTGCACTAAATTTTTCTTCTTTCCTTTAGAGAGAGAGAGGTGATGAATG